TGGACTAATTTGTTTGGTTTTTCTGTCAACAGTATGGGAGATCATATCAATTTGTTTATTCCTTGATTTCAACTTTGCCAAAAGCTCTCATCCCTTGTGATTCTTCTGATCTATCTTCTACGGCAGAGAAGATGTGCAAGTTACTTATTTGAGGTTATAGGATTGCAGGCTTAATTGCCTCCTCATTTCTCCTCTGGTCTAAATTTTCAAAGATAAACAAGTCTGAAGCTCTCATCTTTCATCTGAAGTTTCATGATTCTGAATATTAGTCTTCTGTTTTGACTCAGTTGTTAGTGCACGTTTAGGTTCACAAGCTTAAAGCTCTGACTCTCAAAATGAATAGTAGTCAAAACTTTTTTTTTTTAACCCCAAGGAAAACCTGCATCATTGAAAACTACACCGCCGTATTGGGTGAATTTGCCTCGACCACTTCCTAAATCCAAAGCATCTTTGAAAAGTTCTGTGCTGCGGAGGACAGGAAGCACCCCCTCGACCACCAGCACCCCCAGCGATCTGAGCACTTTCAGCAATAATTGTAAGTCAGTCTTATGTCACACTTTGGTGGTTGTTGAAACAGTATTTATAAGAAAAATGAATGCTCTACAAATTATTAGTAGAATTTTTGTTTCTGTGATTTCGGGAAAAATATGCATGCTGCGTCCTTGGAATTGCTCTGAACGCTTGGCAGGAAAAACAAAATCTTTGAAAAATGTTCATCTTTTGTGAATGTGCCACAAAGCACTGAAATAATTATGTGTTGAAGTCACCTGGTGTATTTTTGCATGAAGGATTCTAAAGTGCATCATTTGGAGTGATGATGTTTGGGGGATTTGTTTAAGGAAAGAATGGCAATGCAGGGGCTCTTGGAAACCAACAGAAAATCAGAAAAAAGATTACTTCAGTTTCATTTACTTTGTAAAAACAATATCTTGTAAAAAAACAATATCTACAAGATACATGTTTTGTAATCTTTTACTTTGCATACTAGATTCATTGTAAGATGACTAATAATATTATAACTTTAAGACTTATTCTAGATTAACTCAGGAGAGTATTTTCAAGGCTTTCAGTTGATGTGAATTCTGTTCTGTATGTATAAAATAGGCGAGTTAATTGAGCTACCTCTTTCATTCAAAAGACGTATTTGGACTTAGTACTTTTCTCATTTCCTTTTTAAATGTCCTCAAACTAATTCATGAATGAATGAATTGAAACAATTCTGGAGTGTCTGCTGTGCACAGGCACCATGACAGGTGCAGTGAGGGACACAGGATATAAAAGTCCTTACTCTAACAAGTAGTGGAGGAGAAAGAAGATGTGGACACAGATGACTAGAATAGCAGATAAGACAAGATACAAGGTCCAGGGAGGTGCGTGACTCGATCTCTCCAGTTTAAGGACAGATCAATTGCTTCTTTTTGGTGAGGTGATGGGAACTGAACCCTTCTGGGTATGGAGCAGTATTACAGAGTTACCCTGCATTTATTTTTTTTCCCCTCAAGTAATTTGTTACTCCAATTTCATATAGAGGTAGTTGTGGCTCAGAGAGATTGTCACTGGCCCAAAGTCACACAGCAAGTATGTGACAGAATTGAGAGAGTGTTTGTGGAGGGTAAGGCATTGAATTAATGACTGAATTAATGAGCACATTTTCCAATAGGTCACTTGGCAGCAATAGCTGGTCTCATATTTCAGAAAGTTCATGGAGAAATAGAATTGAAAGACAACATGAATCTTTCCATGAACTTTTTGAAGTCCCCTTGTGTGATAGTAAATAGCTGCTTAAAATTAAACAGGATTATGATCTGCTTATTGGCTGAATTTTGAAGATGTGGCATAAAATCAGAAGGGTTTGCATGCAGCAGATAATCTATATTAAATCGAAAGGGCAAATCACACGTGTGTTATTTTCACGTCATTTCACTTGCAGCTTTCTCTGTCTTGCAAGGCGAATTTTAAAAACAAACCGTCAAAACAGAATCGCCAACATGCTCTGTAAGGACTGTTGTAGCAATGGAATTGGTGACACTTTGAGCAGGTACATTCTGTAATGCTGTCTGTCACCCAGCATTTTTCATCAGACAGCCATGTTGACTTGGCCACCGTTTCAGGACCGTGTCTGACACTCCTAAGGAGGTTGTAAAATGCTTTTGTCCGTTCCTTTTTGTCTTTTCACAAAGGGGTTTACGATACACCCACAGAGCCTGTCTAGTGGCGATGTGTCCCTGTTGCAGATTAAGCATTCAAATCAATGAGTCTCTTTCTTAGTTTGATTTGCTAGCTGGTTTAATCTGTTTTGTGTAGTGCCTTGGAGCTTACAGATTTTTTTCCCCCCTGCATTCTAATTCACAAGCATGAGGGATATGGGAGTGAACATGGCTGCAGTTTTTCCTGCTTAAGCTTGATTTGATCCTTTTAAATGACTGTACCAGGAGGATTTCGCAGTTGTACAGAAACTGATATTTCTTCAAAAATCTTTATCAATTCTACACTCACCCCGCCGGCTGGTTCAGAGAGGCACTATGATGCTACCTTGTTGACACTGCTGGTCGTGGGATCCTACAGCCTTTGTATAATTCCTTTGTTAGCCACGTTTACTGGGAAAAGAAGTAGGTCGCCAATTTCTGGTTTGATTTTTTTTTTCTTTGTAAGCATGCTTAAATTTTTATTCAATAAATTTATTTAGGATCTCTTGATTGCTATTTTTGTAACTTGTAATTTATGTTAATTGTCTTATTTCTTGGGCATACAGTGTTTATGTATATTTAAGATGTGAATGCTCCTGTATAGAACCAATTGTATCATGTATTTTATGTGTTTGGGGACTCTTACTAAATATAATTCAACAGCATTGTCAAGGTTCTTGGCACATGAAATTATTCTATTATCAAAGACTATTTGGTTTAATTTCTGATTAAATAATTAGTTGTTTTTGTGTATGTAGCTTATAGTTGTGCAAGCAATGAAAAATACTTTCCTAGAATTAAAATTGAAACATCACATCTGTGATTATTTTCCTCAGTTATAACCAAAAGTATTAAACATGTACTTTTTAAAAGACTACCTCAAAACATGAAAAAATCATTTTGAGCTGAAATAATGAAGAGTCATGTTAGGAAATAATCTTTTGATCAGTGCTTTGATTCATATTGGCTTAAGTATTTGAGCCCTTTTAAAGAATGTTGTTTTCTTGCTTTGTCTGTTTCTTTGTGCTGTGATATTGTTAGTGGCATTATTTAAAATATTTGAGATAGCATAATGCTGTTGTAAAATTAGCATCTGCTCAGTACTTTGGAATTTTATAGTAATAACATTCTCAAGTTTTAAAATGATCAAGATAGATAAGAAAATAAATTTTTCTTTTTTTTTTTTTTTTTTTTTTTTTAAGGATTACTGGTAAGGGGATCTTAACCCTTGACTTGATGTTGTCAGCACCATGCTCTCCGAAGTGAGCTAACTAACCAGTCTTCCCTATATAGGGATCCGAACCCGTGGCCTTGGTGTTATCAGCACCGCACTCTCCCAAGTGAGCCATGGGCTGGCCCTAATAAATTTTTCTTATTTGGGAGTTTTAGCAAGCTCTTTGTGTGTGTTCTTTTAAGCATAGAAAATATTAAAGTTATGATATTGATATCCTTTTGAATATTAGCATGAAACATTGTATAGTAGTTTCTATACCAAATATGCTCATTTATAGAGGTTAAGCATTATAAGCTCTTTCAGACACAAATATCTGACATCCAGTTTTTAAGATCACCAAAGTAATTGCATAAAAATAAACGATATATTGTAGGTCTTGAATAGAGTTGAAGGTTTGAAGATCATTGTACAGTTTAGAAGGAGGCCTCGGGAGACTAATTTTGCCACATTAGCAGGAAAATGAAGTCCAAAGACTTCCTTCCCCTTCTACTTTGGCCACAAACACATGTTTATTTTTGAGAGACAGATGGTGAGAGGAAATGTAAGAGTTGCAAATCAAAGCTATTTGCACTGTCTTGGAAATAGGACAGCAGAAGCAGGCTAAATAAAGGAACGGAGCATGAATCTTCCTTCATGCTTGGGGCCAGCCCTGGCTGAGGTGGTGCAATACGTAGAAAAGGCACTCAGCTCCGACTCATCCTCGTTTTTCTCTTAACTCACAAGAAGTTGGACATCTTTTTCTTCTCTTAACCTCAGTGTCCTCATCTGATGAGCGAGAGGGGAGCACTAGATCATCTTCAAAATCCTTGCAGCAACACGTCTCTGACCTCTTTATTTCCTTGGCTGTACAGAGATGTGCCTAATAATGTGGAAGGAGGGTGGTTTGAGTTGTTGGATTAAGCTGATAGAGAGGGGAAGGAGCCTTATTTACCCTCAGGTTTTTTTCTCAGGGCAGGAATGGCGAGTGACTGTTGTTTTCACCTGCCAAGACCAAGACCAGTCAGTTGATAAGGATCACCTGCAGTACATCCAGTGCGGAGGGTTTCTTGGGCTGCCTCCAGGTTCAGAGGGCAAGTTTGTGTTTGACTAGTGATGTCTGCTATAGGTGAGGACGAGGAGACAGGCAGTGTGCGCTGCCTGTTCTCCCCGATACACCTGTTAGTACTTTGGTACGTTATCATTCTTGCATCATTAATGTAGCTGGTGCCTGTTCTCTGCCTGGTCCTGCTGGGGCTCATCTTCCTAGCTGCACCTTGAGCATACTTGTTACATAGCATAGGAGGACTTATAATTTCTCTCCCTACTTTTATCTAGAATGAAAACTGAACTGCACAAGATGCATGAGCTTGGACTGTGCCAGGCCAACCAGGATGTACGGTCACTCTGGTTGTAGCATTTATGTGGCATCCCTGAGCGGACAGAATTACTATTGTCAGCCTTTGTGTTCCCAGCACACTGTAATGACTGGCTTCCTTATAGGTGCTTAGTGGACATTATTGATCCAAGGAGGAAGGAATAAATGTGGAAGGTTAAAACTGTATTTACCTGTAAACTGCAGTGTGCTTTCTCCTTTGCTACAGCTGGCCACGCTGCTGCCATCAAGTATGAGGAGAAACCTCCAAAACCAGCATTTCAAAGCAGTTCCTCAGGATCCTTACATTTGAAGCCTTTGGTACCCAGAGCTCATGTACACTTGCTAAAAACTCCTCCAAAAGGTATGGTCCTCACTGTGGACAGAAGAGGGAGGTCAAGACATTTATGACCCTTGGCTTGTAGGGAGTTCAACTTTGATGATTAGCTTTATGGTATATTTAATTGTTTATAAAAAGTCTGTTGAGTGAGGAGATACACATTTTTACACTGAGTGAGTTTTTCTTGTTCTGAGAGTTGGTGGATTCTATAGTTAAAACTGGTTACGTGTAAATCAGCAGGCGGAACGAAGGTATAAGGTGGACTTAGACAGTACTCCTAGAGTTAAATTATTCTAAGACAGTGCTCTAGAGTAGTGAGACAGAAAGGAAGAGAAAAGCACAATTTTCTTCCCATCGGAATAGATGTTTCTTTCTTTCTTTCTTTTTTTTTTTTTCTCGTGCCTTCGTGTCTTTGTTCTAAGACCATGTTCTTTTTTCTGTTTTTTCTCCTCTTTCTCTGTAATCCTTCTTTCTATCACGTTATATTTGCTGTGGCTATTAAGAGTAACTTTCATATTTGCAAAATACGTGGTGTATACCTAACACGCAGTGTTTTCAGCAACTTTATCACAGTCAGTCCGAAGCACATCAGACGTTTTCTTTGCTTAGTGAATTAAAAGACTGCGTAACTGAAAGAATGATTGTGAATGAGAAACCTGACCTATGGGACCAATATTTATGTTACAGAGTTTGGAAAACACAGAAATATATAGAGTCTTTCTTAATTCCATCAGCCACAATTACTATGGCATGTCCTTCCAGTTTGGGGGTTTTGTTTTTTTCTCTCTCCTTTGCAGGTAACATGGCTTTGTTTTTGTTTCAACAAAACTGGGATCATAGTGTATACACTCTTCTGTATCTTGGTTCTTAATAACTTAATAGCGTATCATGAGAGCTCCCTCACTTTAAATGGCTATGCAGTAGTCTACTGTTTTCCAGTTCTATTTTTGTTCAGTTTTGTTTATATGGGACAATTTTTGAGTTTTATTGTGCATAATATTGAGATGAGCATCTTTGTGAATCATGGTTTACTGTTTCAGATTCTAATTATGTCCATGGCATATCCCTGAAAGAGGAATTGTTGGGTTAAACTGTAGGAACGTCTTTGAAATTATTAGTGTGCATCACCAAGTAACTTTCTAAAAAGTAGCTGCTCCTTCACAGCACTATGTCTATTGCTTTGCATACTCCTCTGTGTGTGTGTGTGTGTGTGTGTGTGTGTGTGTGTGTGTGTGTGTGTGTGTGTGTGAAAGGATCTTGTGGTAACTTGAGGTTAATTACCTAGTGCATGTTTATCAACTCTTTTTTCTTTCTGCTGAATTGAAAATAGATATAAATATTTGGGAAATTATTCAGTGTGCCAGCAGGTTCTCATTTGTACAGGGTCTTAAATTTCTCAGGCAAGAAATGGATGACATCAGGATGTGAAACTGTGGTTTTTATTGATGAGGACAAAGCCCCATAATCCACACAGCAGTAACTGGAAATAAACTTGTCAAATTTTCGGAGAATGAGAACTTAGAGATTCCGCTGATAACTTTGTAGAACAGGGAGCTTCAGTATTCTAAAGTGCCTCGCTATTGAATTTCTAAGTTTTGGTGTCACAAAGGCTTTATTTGAGTGGGAATCAATGCTTTCCATTTATAATGGCCACATATTTTAAGAGATTATCATCTCTGTAAAATTCCGCAGATGGAATATGGCAGCTGCTCTAACTAGTAATCTGCAGATGATTATGCTCGACAAGTGACTATTTCAGGTCAAGTAGAGGCACTTGTAGTTTTCTTCCAATGACTTAGAGCTCTGTACCTAGTATCATTCCTGGTCGGATTTTATATTGTATCAGTTTAGAGGAATAGCTTAAGTGCATATATTTTTCTTTACAGCTGAATAGAAATTGGGAGCTTCAGAAAGCACACACTAGTGGCTGTCTTTCATAAAGTCTGGCCCCTTTCCTCTGTTAGCAGTGGAATAGCGTTATGTTCCTAGTAAATGTGTACATTTTGTACTGTTAAAATTTGAACTTCAACTGTTCTTGACTAAGAAAAAAATACTGAAGCTTGTCCTATTAAAATTGATCATATTTAATTGTGTGATGATGAATTCATATCACACTGTCATTTTGGTGTTATTTGGAATATCATCTCATACTTAAAATACACTTGATAAGATTACATTTCAATGGTATTTCCCACCTGGAACCCAAAATGTACAGTTTAATGTATTGTTTTTGAAAATAACTCTTATTTACAAAATAGTTTGGTTTTATTTGATATTTTAAATAAAATGTGTATTTTACATCTATTTCTTTTCTATTTTAGGTCCTTCAAGAAAAAATCTATTTACAGCTTTTAATGTGGGTAAGTGACCACTTTAAATATGGTTGGGGAAAAAAGAATCTTTCTTTTTGTAAAGTATTATGAAAAGTATTTAAATTTATTTACAGCAGTTTTTCACTGGTATGCATATAAATAAAATTTCAGGTTTGAGGTGTAAACATAACTGCTTATGACATAGCAAGGCATCTGATGCGTAAAAGGACATTTTATTAGTAACGAATAATTGTAGCTTTTTAAAAAATGATTTTGTTAATGTGGTTTAAACTAAATGGAAAATATACTTTTCTCAAGATAAATGCTGTTTTTAAATTGGATAGTCTTTAATTGCTACATAGTCTCAAGGTCTGGCTTTAACATTTTTAACACTTCAACAGCCTACATTTTTCTGTTCTTTTTTTACACTTCAATCGCTGTCTGGGTTTCCTCTGGTGACAGTAGAGATGAGGCTATCTCAAGGTCTGGCTTTAACATTTTTAACACTTCAACAGCCTACATTTTTCTGTTCTTTTTTACACTTCAATCGGACATGCTCTTATCTCTAAGACAGACTGCAGCCTCAACCATTTGAGCCCAACAGAGAATCAAAAACTCTCTCTCTCGAGAAGCCATAGAAGATTTCACAAAATGTATTCACTGCATTTCCTGTACTTTATATGTAACTGATCACCTCTCCCATACACTACCTACATTCTCTTATTTTATATACAGATGATAAGATAGGTATGTGGCTTCTAGGTCCATTGCAGATGAGAACAGCAAGTGAGAAGAACACATTACAGCACATCGACTACAGTTTAGTGCATTGTGACAGTGTCAGGCGTTCATGCAGTTGTGAGTCAAAAATGAGCAAGGGCCTTGTCTTCAGGGAGCATACAGGATAGTCAAAGAATTACATAAATAAACAGGAATCACAACTGGAATAAGTTCTAGGAAGGAAAGCTACATGTCCCTTGAATTTCCATAAGAGTTTTAGAATCAACTTGTCAACTTCTGTAAAGTCAGCTGAGATTCTGGTAGAGATTGCATTGAATCTGTAGATAAATTTGTGGAGTATCGCCATCTTAACAATATTAAGAACTCCAATCCATGAATATAGGATGTCTTCCCATTCAGTTAGGTCTTATTTAACTTCTTTCAACAGTGTTTTGTAGCTTTTAAAATACAAGTTTTAAACACTTCTTTTAAGTACTGTTTCTTACGTGTGACTTTTCTCTGCTTTGGAAACTGTCATTGATCATAGTAAAGTGGCTGGTTAAATCTAATAAGCCTATTTTAATCTAAACTAAATATGGAATTTAGAAAGACAGTCTTAATTTATGTCTCAAGTCTATGATATTGTGCGAACTATGATAAGGTATTATTTTTTGACAGGCATAGTAAATAATAATCCTCAATATCTGTCTCCTTTCTCTAATATAGAGAAAAGCTATGGTATTAGGCATTTTCCCTTGTTAGGTTGCTGGACTGACATCTTGCTTTATTTCCAAAGCATGTCATTGACCGTTGTCATATCAGTGACCCCTGACAGGCAGGGTTATCAGAATGGCAAATTAACTCCTGATTAAGTGATGGGGCGAAAAAAAAGAAGGAAAGTACGGGTCATGTTTGTAGGTTTGTTTGTCAAAGCCTTTAAACATGGAATAGAAATGAAGTATATGGTAGATTTCTATAATACCTGTCTTCAATTAAACACTAATATTTTAAACATAATTTTAATCACTGCTCTAATATTTGCAGAGGACAAGGGTATATTGTAAGGGGTCAACATTGCAGTTTAATACAGTTTGTATGGTATGTCCATGTATTTTCCCTTAATCATAAGCATGACTTTTCTAGGTTCTTCTATTTAATGGTTAGTTATTATCATGACTTAAGACTAATCTGGTATCATGATGAGCTTAACGAGAAAGAGTTGCTGTGTGTTGGCTTTGACACTAATCTTTGGTGCTAAGAAATGGTATCCACGGGCCAGCCCGGTGGCGCACTCGGTAGAGTGCGGCGCTTGGGAGTGCAGCGGTGCTCCTGCCGAGGGTTTGGATCCCATATAGAGACCGTCCGCTCACTGGTTGAGCGTGGTGCGGGTGCAACACTGAGGGTTGCGATCCCGTTACCAGTCATGAAAAAAGACAAAAAGGAAAAAAAAATTAAAAATAAAAAAAAAAGAAATGGTATCCAGACAACCAATGAGTTTGGGTAGATCATTGAACGTCTTTAGTTTTATTTTTTGTGCAATTGGAAGAGTTGATCTCTAAGGTTTCTCCCCACAGTGATATTCTATGACTGCAAATCACTTTGACTTTCTTTATATTCTGCTGGCAAATAGTCATATTTTAGATGTTACAGAAGACATTGCCTCTACATACAAACGTGTTTCTCTGAGTATTAAATTTTAAATCATTGTACTATGACTTTGAGTTCTTTTTATTCTTTTAAATCAACAAACAGTGAAGATTACAATTGATCAGATTCATATTCTTTAGTTTTAGTAAAATAATCACTTACTTTTAATTATAGTAGTTTGCCAAATTCCAAAAAGCTCAGCACGTAGAGGTTTAGAAACCATCTTTTAGTTTTTTTAATTTGTGATTTTAAATAAAATTCAGTTAACTATATCCTGTTTTGTTACTTAATCACTGTCACATTTGCACATGCAGTGACATTTAACTAATCCTCTTGAATATTTGGGGTACTTCTGTGTCACGTTCATAACTGATTCTATGATGAATGTCTTTACAATTAAAGTTTGGGGAATTTTTTTGTGATAGATTCTTAAAAGTAGTATAAGTAAATCAGAACAAATTTATATTTGTAGTCATTCACTCAAATAACCAAACTGTTTTCCAAAAGCTTATCAGTTTTTACCATGATTGACAACATAAAAGATTCTGGCTCCACCGTACCCTGGTAACATGGGGTATTATTTTTTCAATTTTTTGAATAACGTAGTAGTTGGAAATGTTACACCATTATTTTAGTTTAATCTTGATCAATTATTTTAAAGAAATTCCATTATCTTATAGGACAGTGGAGAAGAACAGGAAGAGAGTGAACTTTTGAGACACTGGATGCTGGTTTAAATCTTGCTTTTGCTGCTTTCTATTTGTGTCCTGACCTTGGGCTATTGCTAAGCCTCTCCAAGTCTCATATTTCTCATTTGGGAATATAGGAGTATTTGGGGAATAATGCTCAGTATGGGAATAATTTCAACATTATAAAATTGTTGTAAAAAAAAATAAAGGTCTTCAAGTAATAGCAACTTCTGCTGCTAAGGATGGTGATGATGATAATCCTTTCCATTGTACTTATATTCTAGTGGCTTAGAGTCCTTTTCCAGGAAGTTGAATTATTTTAAATCCTTAAAACAAGCCGGAAAGACCACTTAAAGTGAAGAATCATCCTCATAGGGTCTAGCTGTTGTAATTTATTTAAAGGTTGTGATGCTACAAGATTCTAGTCGGCATTGACTCTAAATAAAACTTGGCTTACTGTTTATGAGGAAGAGGTCACACATAGCACAGCATGCTATTATTACCTTGGTCCTAGCACACACAAAAGCTGTTTGGGATACCAGCGGTCTCAGAGTTGTATTTATCCAGCTCCCTGATTGTTTTACACAAGATCATCAGTCTCAGGTGCCATGGTGTCTGCCCTGGAAAACAAAATGCACTGCTCTTCCTATCCCCATTAGTAAAGATGGCACAGGGGGATAGGGAGGCTTTCTGTATCTCCTTTGTTCCAAGTGTTGGAAAATGGTTCAGAGTTGAAAGCCTGCTCTGATGAGGTGATGCTGATGCTGTCTGGGTTTCCTCTGGTGACAGTAGAGATGAGGCTATCCTTCATCGTTGCTTTATGATGACCTAACTCTCCTTCTATACTTAAAAAGCAGATGTTATTTAGATATGTGATAAATTCAAATTATTGGGTGGAGGAGGGTGATGATCATTTAGTAAATCTTGGGACAATGGCTACCTTTTTAGCAGGAGCCAGATCTCTTCACAAACTAAATATAAGCATATTCCAGATGGATTACTTTTAGATACAAAAATTAAAATATTAAAAGCACTAAAAATATAGACAAGTAGAAAAGGCCTTTCCAGGAACATTGATATGATAGAAGATAATAATTATGACAACAAAAGTTTTAAGCTTCTCTTGTCAGAAACATTGTAAACAATATTAATAAGCAAAGAATAAGCTGGGACAACATCAGCAGCTTACTTATTCTATGTAGAGGTCTTTCAAATGAGCAAAATAAAGAAAACTCCACAGTAGAAATTAAATGTCCATACTACCCAAAGAGATCTACAGCAGTAGAAAAAACAATTCTAAAATTCACATGGAACCACAAGAGACTCCTGAATAACCAAAACAATCTTGAGAAAGAACAAAACTAGAGACATCACAATTTCTGATTTCAAAATATGTTACAAAGCTACAGTGGTTCAAACAGTATGGTAGTAGCATAAAGATAGACATATAGACCAATGGAATAAAATAGCCCAGAAATAAATCCACGCACATATAGTCAGCTGATCTTCAACAGGGATGCCAAGAATACACAGTGGGGAAAAAAAGTCTCTTCAACAAATGGTGTTGAGAAAACTGGGTATCCACATACAAATAAATGAAATTGAACCCTTATCTGACACTACACAAACATCATCTCAAAATGGATTAAAGACTTAAACATAAGATCTGAAACTGTAAAACTCCTAGAAGAAAATACATGGGGAAATGTTCATGACATTGTTCTTGGTAATGATTTTTATACAGTCTTTTTTTTTTTTTTCTTTTTGTCTTTTTTACTGACCGGTAACGGGATCGCAACCCTCGGTGTCACG